GTATTGGTCAGTTTTGCCATCCTGCTCCACTTAAAATAAGTCATCCTAGGTGCTGTTTCCATAACTTTTCAATATATATGCAGAACAGATCATCTAGGAGGCTGGGCTGTATGAGGAGGAATGTGGCATCAGGATTGGAGGTAGACTCATCAACAACCTGTGTTATGCAAGATTACACAACTCTGCTTGCTAAAACTGAGGAGGACCTGAAACACTTGTGACAGAAGGTCAAGGACTGCAGCTTTCAATATGGATTGAAGCTCAGTATCAAGAAAACAAAGATTCTCACCACTGGCCCAATTGGCAGCATCATGATAGATGGTGAAGAGATTGAGATTGTTAACAGCTTCCGTTTACTTGGCTCCACAATCAATACTCTTGGTACCAGCAGCCAGGAAATCAAGAGACTAATTACATTAAGAAAGTCGGCTATCAGGGACCTCTCATTGTACTGAAGAGCAATGATATCAGTCTGGAAACTAAGGTGTGCCTTATCCAGGCCATAGTCTTCATAATTGCTTCTTATATGTCAGAGAGCTGGACAATGACTAAGGATGGATAGAAGGAAAATTGATGCCTTTGAGCAGTGATTCTGGAGAAGAGTATTGAATATACCATGGACTGCTTGGAGAACAAACAGGTTCAACCTAGAGAGGGAGGGTGAAACCAGGCTGCTCTTTGGAGGCAAGGATTCTGAGGCTTTGTCTGACATACTTTAGGCATGTTGCAAGGAGGGACCAGTCCTTGGAGAGGACATCATGCTTGGAAGTTTGGAGGGACAGCGCAAAAGAGGAAGACCTTGGATGAGATGGATTGATTCAGTGATGGGGTAATTAGGGTAGATGTGTCAGAGACAGTAAAGTTGGCACAGGATAAAGCAAGTTTCAAGGCTATTGTACACAGGTTCACTATGGGTTGCAAATGATATACAACAACAGATGCAGAAAATGGGGACTTTACAACCACCAAGAGAAAAGCAGAATGTGTCCTTTGGACTCAGGATTCCTGCACTGAGAATGTCCTTGGACCAGAAGATAGAGTGAGAGTTGGCTGTAAAAAGTGGTAGCAAAGACATAGCAGCAGGAGACCACATAGGGAAGACTGGCAGACAACAGATAGGAGACAGCATGGTGCGTTTCCCAGCCCACAGAGTGAGCAAATGGAGCACCTTTGGACAAGGGGTTTGCTGGCAGAGTAAGGTGACTCTGGGCAGTTGGTAAGGTTAGATTTTCATTCCACAGAGCTAGAGCTGGGGCCCACTGGATTACTGGTGGAGTGAAATGCCTCTGGGCACTTATTACTCTTATTGCCACATAGTGGGAACATACTCATAGCTGACTTTGCACTGGGTTTCTGAAGCTGTAAATCTTTTGGGAGGAGATTGTCCATCTTTCTCCCACTGAGCCACTGATGGTTTTGAACTGTGAGAAAAACACAGCTTTGGTTTTAACTAGCAGCCTAGTTCCCTATAGACTATTCCACTAGAGCTCCCTAGGCACTTATTAGAAGAGCTAAAAAAACTTTGCCAAGCAGGGCAGAGGCTAGACTGAGGCGATACTCAGGGCCTCTGCCTTACTTGGGCAAGTGTTACAAAGCTCTATATAGCTCTATCAATAAGTGTCAGAGACGGCATGCCTGAGAAGGGACTGTCTTGACTGAAGAACTGTATCCTTGGGTGTTCCTGAACCTTAATTACATTTCATTGTTTACTTTATAAGTCCTCTGAGTATGGTTTGTGAGTTCTCTGTGACCACTACAATGAATTATCAAACCCAGGTGTCAGGATTGGTAAGAAAGAGTAGGGGGTGGAGGGATGTCTGACACCTCACAGGAAGCAGCTTTGGGCTGTTGATGCCAATCCTGAGTCTCCTTCTCCCTCATGAAGTTACAGAAGTCATTGTATAATACTTAATTATGTACAAATGTGTCTCCAAAATGTGTTTGTTAATTGTTTATTTCAATTCCAAGTCCTAATGTATGACCTGACATTCATACCTTTGGCTGGTATGTGTCTTAAACAGTTTTATAAATAAACAATTTCTTCTTCCCTCTTTTCCCCCACCACGCCAGTTAATTGTTACTGAAGCTGAGTCATTTGCTTGTAGAATTGTCCACTTTGCAGATTGGCTGATTGCATCTTCAGGTTTTTGTTGAGCTGGTTCTTCTGCCCCATGTTTCCGGCTAACCGCTTGTTAAATCTGAGGCATCATTAGAATCAGGATTGTTCTGAGTACACATGTCTAGTGTCGCACATCAGGAAGCACATGGACCTGGCCGCTCCACTTTAAATTCCTGTAAAACTTGATGGTGATTGTAGATATGGGTGTGTTTAACTAAATAAAAGAAAGAAGAGAGTTCATCTAGTAATTCCAGAGAGGTGGTGAAAGCTGGAAGTTTGGATAGGAATTTTGTTTCACAGAGAAGAAAAGTCAGACATAGGAAACAGCATGTGGAAAGCCATGGCAAGTCAAGTTTAGGAGATAGAAGGAGGTTTTGGTGGAGTAGAGAAAGGGGAGATCAGGCCAGATGTGGTAAGTCTTTGGATATCCAGAAAAATCAGCAAAGTCTTTGATCAGAGGAGCCTAACTAGACCAGGTTTCAGGGCAGGCAACTTTGACCGCAGTGGAAAGTTCCTGTGCAGGTAGGAACCTATCAAAGATGGAGACCTCAGGCAGGAAGAAACTGTAATGGATGAACAGAGGCTGGTCCCAGTCCAGTGGAAATGAGAAGGATAAGACTTAACAGATGTTTGCAGTCTACAGGTTTTGTTGACTGATGTTGGATGTGAGAGGCAGGGATCGCCTGGTTCCAGGGAGGAACAAAGAGCAGGCAAGCAGAGGAGGCACGAACTGGGAGAAGGCTGCGTGGCTGTAATAGTGATTGGAAGGGGAGGGGGTTGCTGAGTGCAGTGTGATCCCCGCCTTGGTGAAAGGCTGGTCAATGGACATGCGGGTCTGTATCTGAGAGAAGCTACAGCTGATCTGTTGAATAACATCAAGAACACACACGGCTCATCATCATTCATTCATTATTCCTTTACAGAGTACCTATTGAGCCAAAACCCGTCTGCTTTTGTGGAATTAGCATTCTGCGTAAGGAGTGGGAAACACATTTAACAAGTAAAACCTATGAAAGTGGAACAGGAAGGAGTGCAAAGGGCAGTTTTAATTAGAATGTTCAGAGGCCTCACTGATTAGGCCACATCAGAGGAAAAAACTTCTTAGGCAGATGGCTATCTAGGGAGGTGCGCTCTCTATAAACTGTTGTTAAGCACCAGCGAGTAGAGGCCCCACGGACAATCGATCTGAACTCTGTCCTAGTCTGTACCGCCCTCAACATCCCAACATGCCACAGTCCATTGCCACAGACAATCCATCCCACTGAGGGTCTTCCTCTTCTTTGCTGCCCCTCCGCCTTTCCAAGCATGATGTCCTTTTCCAAGGAATAGCCTCTCTTCTTGTTTAATTGAGATTTTAATGAAAGCTCATAGAGAACTTGGATTTCTTATCAACATGTCCCATAGACTGCCAAAAGAACTAACGGATATGTAATGAAGTTGCAGCCAGAGTACTCCTTGGAGGGAAAGATGGTGAAGCTTCATCTCACATACTTTGGGTGTGTTGCTAGAAGAGGCTATTGCTTGGAGAGAGACATTGTGCTCGGAAAGGCAGAGGATGGTGAAGGAGAGGATACAGTAATTACAGCTACAAGCTCAAGTGTGTCAGAGATTGTGAGTTTGGCACAGGATAAGACAGGGTTCAGATCTGCTCATAGGGTCACTGTGAGTCATACTCGACTTGATGGTACCTAACAATAACAAGTTCAAAAATACGTGAGATGAGGTTTCATTAACTTTGCATTCAAAGAACATTTTGGTTGCACTTTCTCCAAAACATATCTGTGTGTTCTTTTGGCAGTCGTTGAATATTCAGTACCCTTATCCAACACCACAACTCAAATGCAGCTATTCTTCTGTAATCCTTCTTCATTGTTCCGCTCTCAGCTGCACAGCAGGTGAAGAAAAACCTGTGGCCTGAATTCAGCACACCTTAGTCTTTAGGCTGACATCATTGCTCTTTAAAACTTTGGAGAGATCCCTGATAGCAGATTTCCCAGTGGTATATGTCTCCTGATCTCCTGACTGCTGGTACCAAGGATGTTGACTATGGATCAAAGCAAGATTAAATTGTTGAGAATTTTAATCCTTTCCCCCTCCTCTATCATATGTTACCTATTGGTCTAGACGTGAGGATTTTTGTTTTCTTGATATTGAGATGCAATCCATATTGAATGTTGCAATCCTTGATCCCCTGCAGGAAGTGCTTCAGGACCACCTCACTTTGAGCAAACAAGGTTGTGTCATTTGCATAAAGCAGGCTGTTGATGAGCCTTCCTCCCATCCTAATGCCACGCTCGTCTTCACAATGTCCAGCTTCTTGGGTGATTTGTTTTGATTTAATAGATTTGGAGAGGATATAACTCTGGGAGGGAGTGTAAAGTGCCAAGGCCCTCCCTGAGGCAGGAGGTTGTCTGCCTTGTTTGAGAAACAGCAATCGAGAAGCAGGAAGAGGAGAAGCTCTGAGAGGTGCTGAGGCCTCGAAGCTCCCCAGAGGACTTTGGCTTTTACCCTGAGTGACGGGGACATTGGTGAGTGTGGAGCAGAGAGGTATGTCTGTGTCCTGCACGTTTTCTCTCTCTATCTCACTTTCAAAAACCCCACAGCTCTACCCATGTCTAGCCCAAGAGAGAGCTGTGCTCATGCTGCCCTGGGTTGGTGTCCGAGCAGCCACCGAGTGGGCCCAACCCTGTAGACCCAGGGTCACTCAGGGACCTCAGAGTTAGTGCCAGAACTTTTTTTTTAAGATTTTTAAGAAATCAAAATATTTTTATTCAGGTCATTTTAAACTAAATAAATCTTCCATGGCTAATGATTGATATGCAAGTAATGCTGCTGGCTTTCACATTCCTTGTTTCCTTTACTTCATTCAGAATAAAGGTGATCAGTTGTTCTTGAACAGGTCAATACAGCTTTGTAAGAGAGAAACATTGTTCTTGGCATGCTTTATTTCTAGTTCAGACATTTCTATTAGATTCTTCCGAAATGCAGCCACTCGTTTCCGTTTGAGACTGATCAATTCTTCTTTTGCAGATTCAGAAAGCTGTTCAAATTTCTGGCCGCATTCCTGCTGGTGTGCCTCTGCCAACCTGACATCTTTGCTTTTTAACCGGGCCTTATCCAAAGCTTTGCTTGAGTTCTCATAGTCTATGAGGGCTTTGGCACGTCTATATAAGAGATCCTTTGCAGCCTCTATGTTGAGCATGTAGTATCGGAGAAGTTCAGTCAGCTTTAAATCTTCATCTGATGAGACTCGGTTTTCTATTTTTCTAAGTTTCTCAAACAGCTCAGCAACCTTCAAAAGGTACTTTTTGATGACTGTGGGCTCTTCTAAAGCCAGGCTATGTAGGGAGGCTGAAGTATGAATATAGTCATCTGCAACATCTTAACTCCAGAAAAAAGGACTTCATCAGCACTTTTCACCACATTCTTGAAAAAACCACCAAACACTTCCTTGGTATTTTTCCGCCTAACACTTAGGCTTCTAGTTCTTGTTTCATTTTGGCGAATTCTTCTTTGGTCATTGATCCTTCACCCTCTCCCAATTTCTGCATCTTCTCTCGAGGACCATCAAAGTCAGGTTTTGTAGAAGCAGGTGGGATAATAAGTCCAGCATAATCTGTTGTTTCAATAAGAGTGTCATGTAGCCACACAAAGACTTCATGTTGCCTGGTAACAGAAAACTCTGGGTTTTGAAATGTAGATAGAGTGGTCTTTGTGTGTACTGTAAACTTGACCTTATCTCTCTCACTGAGTGCATCAGGTATGTCAATCTGAAGTGAAGGATCGACATTCAGGTCCACAGACACAGATCTTAGCTTTAAAATAAAGTCACTGTTTTGAGAGAGGTTTCTAGATGTAAGCTGTGGGAAAAATCTCTTCAGATGCTTGGGGGTCCATTCATAGTACTGTTGGAATGGTCTAATTGTTGTTAGGTGCTTCACAGTGATCCTATTAACAATGGATGTGAATCTTGCCCTATGCTGTGTCATTCTGATATGCTAAAGCCCACTGTTATGACCAGTGGGTCGACTCATCTTGTTGAGGGTCTTGCTTTAAGTGATCCTCCACTCAGTTTCATATTTTCCGGAGGCATGTTTATGAAGTGGATGCCACTCCTGCTTCCAGAAAGGCTTCAGGCCTTTTGTTAATAGGGTTGTTATGAGTCCTGCTCAACTCAAGTGCCAGAACTTTTTGAGGTTGGGGAGCTCCTGAGATTGAAGCTTCTTCCTCTATAGAACAGACTAATAGTTACTCCTTGTGTTGAGGTCCTAGATGTCAGTGATAAACTGAAGTTACAGATTCAGAACATGAATGCGGCGAAAGTAACATTCTCCATACCACAGGAGACTGCTGCTCTCATTCCTGACTCACCCCAAGGACGGTCCACACACAACCAACCCTACCACTGTCCTTCCTTGGGGACCAGATGGCTGCTTCTTCTTGTTGTGTACCATCTAGTTGGAACTGATTGGTTGCTGACCCTCCAGTGGGTTTTCAGAGGTGGCAAATCGCATGAGAAAAGACTGCATGTATTTCTCCTGCAAAGCAGCTAGTAGCTTTGAACTGTGTGTCTTTGGGTTGGCAGCACGATTGCTTACCACTAAGTCACCAGAGCTCCCTAGGGGGCTTGTCAGCAGAATGCATTTGTTCGTAGGAGTAAAAACATTCCTCTGTCCATGAAGAGATCAGAGTGTGTGGCCATGGCAGGGCAGGCACTGGCCCTCAAGGCTCACCAGGCCTCTAAGGGTCCCTTGCTCCTGACACTCCCTCTATCTCTACTCTCCAGTTCCCTGTCTCACTCTTCACCACATGTCAGCTTCATTTTCTCAGGTCACCTTTCTCCCTGAGGCTGGTACCATGACCACTAGCCACTTCAGGTTCCAGCTTCTCGAATAATTTGCTCATCATATAAATTAAATTGATCGGGGCTATAGTCTTCGCAATTGCGTGCGTCAGAGAGTTGGACAGTGAATAGAGATGATAGAAGGAGAATTGATGCCTTTGAGCTGTGGTGCTGGAAAAGAGTGTTAAATATACCATGGACTGCCAGGAGAAAAAAACAGGTGTGTCCTGGAGAGGGTGAAGCCAGAATGCTCCGTGGAGTCAAGGATTCTGAAGCTTCATCTAACATACTTTGGGCATGTTGCAAGGAGGGACTGGTCCTTAGAGAGGGACATCATGTTTGGGAGAGTGGAGGGATGGCGCAGGAGAGGAAGACCCTCGATGAGATGGATTGATTCTGTAACTGGAGTGGTGGGAATGAGTGCATTTGAGATGGCGAGGTTGGCACAGGATAGAACAGCGTTTAGAGCTCATAGGGTCGCTAGGAGTCGCAAGCGACTCGATGGCACATACCAACAACAACAATGTAGAAAAGGTAAAATCCTGACACACACCTTTCCTAATATTAAACTATGCAGTGTTCCTTTGCTGATAGGCAATATCATAATGGATAGAGAAAAGACTGAGACTGTCAACAACTTCATCTTACTTGGATTCACAATCGATGCACTTGGTACCAGCAGTCAGTCAGGAGATCAGGAAATTTATTGCACTGGGAAAGTCTGTGGTCAGGAATTTCTCCGAATTATTGAGGAGTAATGATATCAGGCTGAAGACTAAGGTTCACCTGATTTAGGCCATGGTCTTTTTAATTACTTGCTATGTATGCATCTGAGAACTAGACAATGACTAAGGATGACAGAAGAAGAATTTATGCCTTTGAACTCTGGTGTTGGAGAAGGGTGTTGACGATTCCATGAGTAAGAATGAACAGATATGTCTTGGAGAAGGTCCAGCCAGAGTGTTCCTTGGAGGCAAAGATGGTATAAAGTTTCATCTTTGTGCATGTTGCTAGGAGATGTTATTCTTTGGAGAGGGACATCATGCTTGGAAAGGTGGGGGGCAGTGAAAGAGAGGAAGATCCTTGATCAGGTGGGTTGATGTGGTGACTGCAGCAATAGGCTTGAGTGTGTCAGAGATTGTGAGAATGGCACAGGAGAGGATGGTGTTTGGATCTTTTGTTCATTGGGTCACTATGAATGGCTCTTGACTCAAAGGCACTTAACAACAATAGGAAGAGTTTTGATTAACTACTTCCAAAAATTAGCAAATGAAAATATAATGGATCACAACAGAACTTTGTCTAACTCATTTGCTCTTATTGCTGTTGTGTTCCATTGAGTTAGAAAGACTCATACCTGACCCTCCAGGGAGTTTTCAGAGGCTGTAAATCACACAGGGGGAGATTGGATGTCCTCCCACAGGGCAGCTGGTGGATTCAGCCTGTGTGCTCTAGGAGGGATCTATCCTGGAAAAACACATCATGTTGGGTAAAGTCAAGGTCCAATGAGGGTGAAAGAGACTCTTGCTGAAATGGGTTGGCCCAAAAGAGGCAACAATGGGCTGGAGCATGCGAGTGATTGTGGCGATGGTGCAGGACTGAGTGGCATCTCATCCATGCTAAGTAAGAGCAGCGACCTATGGCAGAGCATATGCCTCCCAGCTTCCCTAGGAGAAAGGGCCTCGCCTTAGTTTCAATTCTAATAACATCCTCAGCTTCACCCACAGGTATAGGAGGCTCTGCATTCAAACAGGAGACAGAATGAGTCTAGGAGAGAAGATGGTAGCTATCCCTGGACACAGGACCCAAGTGAAAGGAATGCTTTTGCAAAAGAGACTAGAAGACAGCAAAATGTGAGCTCCCTCCTCAGAAGACTCCAGGAAAAAGACAAACTTGAGCCCCACCTAGCCTCTGCCTCCATCTCCTCCTGTGCGGACAGGCAACTCCTATTTAGCCCATTTCCTCACGTAAGCAAATTCCAGGCAGTTCAGGGAAAGGCGTGCACAAACAGAACTCTTCATATGGAATTTCTATTGTTGGGAAGTCAGAGAGACCGGAGCTGACCCTCCAGCGGCTTTTTAGAAGCAGTAAATCGCTCGGGCAGGTGATTGTCCACCTTTCTCCCACGGAGCAGAGCTGGTGGGTTCAAATTTACAAAAATAAGCGCATTTTGCACAAGTAATTTGGGAGTTTGAAAATACCATCACAGATAACGGGCTGGTGGTGTGATGGTTAAGCTCTCGACGACTAATCTAAAGGTGGGAGGTCAGGATCCACTCGTGGCTCTGGAGAGAAAGAAGAGGCAATTTGCCTCCATGAATTTTTCCGATATTGGGAATCCCGCGGAGCTTTTCTCCTCGGTCTTACAGGCTCTTTACAAGTCAGGAAGGACTGCATGCACGGCAGAGGGGGTTTGGTTTTGGTGACTTTTTTTGCGTCGTGTTGTTCAGACTGTCTGATTCCTTAGGCTAAGCAAGTGCACAAAAGCAACAGTTTTGTACTGTCCCTTCGTGCGTCGCGCACGTCGCTTCCCGGGACTTTATCTCACTGCGCCCTCCCCTTGGAGTTATCGCTGTTCGCAGAAGAGGAAATCAACGCTCCGAGTGGCTCCCGCCCCAGGCTGAGCGGAGGGAGCGCAGGGGGCGCCAGGCACTGGCTCAGAGCGGGTCTCCCCGGCCCCGGCCCCGCGGGCAGCTCACTGGGCAGGCTGCCAGGCCGCCCTTCTCATCCCGCCCCTACCACCCGCCGCCCCAACCTGAGTGAGTGGGTCTAAATTCTAAGTTGTCCAGAACCCTGCCTAACAGAGGCAGGACATGTGTGTGGACATGTGTGCGTGAGCGTGCATGTGTGTGCTTGAGTGTGTGAATACATCTAAGTGTGTGTGTGTGTGTGTGTGTGTGTGTGTGTGTGCGCACCCCTATGTGCTAGGGTAGATTGGGCTCCTCCCCCACGTTACCTCCTCTGTGAAGCCTGCCTGTACCCAAACTACTTTTTGTTTGTTTGTTTGTTTTTGCCTTGGTATTTTTCTTTTCATACAACCTTTTTTTTTTACTTTTTTAAAAAATAATTTTAATGAAAGTTTACAGAAACGTAGGGTTTCCAGTTATTCATTGTTGCACTTTTCTCCCTGCCCACCCACTCCCCCTAATTCACTCTTCTCCTTGAAAAGAAAAGTCCTCTCCACTGTGCAGCCTTCACTCTGGACTTCTGTAATGACAAGAATACCCATGCATATGTCCCTTTTAAATAGTTCTCTCCCTCAACTGTTTCAATACAATATACATCATTCCTCCCCTCCTTTTCTGTCTTCCCTCAACCCTGATGTCAGTCTAGTTTTACAGCAGTGGCCCTATGCAATATTTGTCCTTTTGTGACTGAGATATTTCACTCAGCATAACATCCTCCAGGGTCATCCATTTTGCATAATATTTCATGAGCTCCTTGTTTTTCAACACTGCATAGTATTCCATTGTGTGAATATACCAGAGCTTCTTTATCCATTCTTTTGTTGATGGGCACTTGGGTTATTTCCAACTCTTTGCTATTGCAAACAAAGCTGCAGTAAAAATGGGTGTGCATATATCTGCTTGGGTGGACAACTCTTTTTTTTAATTGTGATTTTAACAAAAGTTTACAGAAAAAAAATGGATTTTCATTCATTCATTGTTGCACATTTTCCTACCCACCTCCCAGTTAACTTTTTAAAAAAATATTCATTGTTGCATAACAAACTACTTTCCTGATGCCCCACTACCCTCTATTCAGCTCCAGCACCATGGAGATAGGCTTACTAAATATGCCCAGTATGGGACCAGAATGTGATGGGGCTTCACCGATGCATGTGGGATTTACAGCAGCCTCCCTGTGGTTATTTGCATAGCAACCTAGGGTGTCAGATTGTGTGTGTTTGGAGCATGGGGAGTGGTTGCATATGAAGCTGGGCACCTGTCCTGCTTGGATCTTTGGGGCTGTTATCCTCTTTTTCCTCACCCCCTGCCTGTTGCTCAGGGCTGCCCGACCCATTGACAGGCCACATGCAGACCATTGGTCACGTGGACCACGGTGTGCTTTATTGACCTGATTTCAGGTCAAAGCTCCTTGTCCCTAAGTTGGACAGGATCTGTGCCAGTGCTGCTTTGGGATACCACTCCCACTTCCTGTTAACCCCTTGGGGCTGAGATCTCCAGCATTCTCCTTCTCCCAATTGTTCCTGGAGTCAGTTTAAAATTGCTAGCTCTGATATTTGCAGCATTACCTCTGGTCACAACCTTTGTCCATTTTTATTTGTTCTATCTTCTCTATGCAGATAATCTAGGACCCCTGAGCTCCTTTTCCATTTCTGCTTGTCTAACTGATGTCTGCTCAGAGCTCTGGTGGCCTAGTGGATAAGGAATTGCATTGCCAACTCAAAGGCAGGTGGTTCAAGTCCTCCAATGTTCAGTGGGAGAAAGAAGGGCCATCTCCTCCCATGTGATTTACAGCCTCTGAAAACCCACGGAAGGGTTAGGGAGGTTCTGACTCCACAGTAATGAGTGAGTGAGTGAGTGAGTGAACAGTCTCACCTCTTTCATTGTTGTTGTGTACCATCGAGTTCAATGCATGGGAGGAGATTGCCCATTTTCTCTCACAAAGCAGCTGTTGGATTTGAACCACATACTTTTGAGTTGCCAGTGCAACTCCTTACCCCTAGGCCACCAGAGCTCCCTCTTAACCTCTGTTACCCCTCTTTTTTCCAACTCTAGAATCTGAGGCTTCTCACCTTCTCTTCCAATAATAAAAAGAAATGAATGGAGCTTGGTGGCTGTGGATCAGCCACTCGTATCACACTCTCTGGGCCTGAATGTCAGGTCCACCACTTATAACACATGTAGCCTCACACAAACACGTCAGGGAGTGTTTCATCAGGAAACTGATGGCTCTCCCCATTGGGATCACTTGAGAAATGTTTTGTAGAAGGATTATATCTAAGGAGGGGCGGGCAGTGTACTGGTCAACCACAATGGTGAGTGTAATAACACATCTGGTAGCACCCAGTTCTTACCAACTTTAGGCCTAGAAGATGGGCAGAGGGAATGGTTCCTAGAAACTGAAGGAGCTGCTGTGTTCTATATTGACCTCACAGAAAGCGAGCTGGGAGGTCAATGGTCCAATTTCACTTTCTGTCTCATCTCCTACTGGTGCTGCTTCCAGCAGACCAAACTCTACAGAAGTCACGGAGCCCACTGATGCCCACAAACGTCAACCTCCTGGCCCAGAGGAGAGGGGAGGAGGAACCTGGAGGGACAAGAGAAAGCACCCTGTTCTTCTAAGCCTCAGTTCTCTCATCTGTAAAACAGTTTCTTCATCCTGCCAGCCCTCGAGGTCATTGTGTTGATAAAAACAGACAATGTACTGAGACACTGGTCACAGATACAGCACATGGCATTCAGTGGACGCACCCAATCATCTGCCTAATGAGTTTAATGATTAACTGGCATCTCAGATTTGCCCCAGACTGAAAGCTTGATTATTTCCCCACAAAGCCTATTTCTTTCCTGGCCTCAGTCAATGGCCCTACCACCTTCCCAAGTGCTCAAGCCAGCATCTTCAGTGCTGTCTGTCCTTCAGGTGACAGAACTCTTCTTCTGTCTCCACATCTCTTCTGTCATTCTCCTTTGTCCACCATCATCCACAAGGCATGTCAAGTCTATCTCCTTCTCCCCACCTCCCTCCCTTGACCAAGGTGATGGTCAATCAAGTCCATCACTTCTCACCCTGCCCAGCTTGTTTAACCCACTGTGGTCTATTCTCCGCCCAGCAGCCAGCAGGGTTTAATGATCTGCTGGATCATGCCACTGCCCTGGTTACTCTCCTTTGTGATAATGCTGAATCCAGACTCCTACCCAGGCCTACAAGGTTGGCTTCAATCCCAACGTCGGACCATCCTCCTACTTCCCAGCACCTCCTTATAGCAGCTCTTTGGCATCAAGCTTTTGTCTTCCTCAGAACTTTGCCATATATTATTTCCACTCCCTCAAGAAGCTCCTTGCCCTTTTCTGTTCCAACCTATTCCCTCTCAGCCTTCAGATCTTAAACATGATCATTTCAAAGAAGCCTTCCCCACTGACCTCAGCTAAAAGACATTCCTTCCTTTTCTCCCTACTGGCTTATAGATTTCAAGATTGAGTTTTTGAATAGTACTTCCAGTGTTTGTAATTTCTTTGTTTGATCTTGTCTGTAGTCTGTCTCCCCTAGGATACTCTGAATTATACTAGGGAGCTCTGGTGGCCGTGTGGTAAGAAGTTGATCTGCCAAAGGCAGTTGCTCCATGGGGGAAAGTTGGGCAATCTCCTCCCACGTGATTTATAGCCTCTGAGAACTCACTGGAAGGTCAGCTAGGAGTCGATTCTCACTCGATGGCACATAGCAACATAAATTATACTATACAGGCAAAGGCCTTCAAACCTGCATGCTCAGGACCTAACAGAGTAGGTGTTCAATAAATATAAGAGAAAAATAAGTAAATATAGGAGCGTGTTGAATGGACAAATGGTGATGATGACAACACTATCATTCTTGGAGACTCTCACCTCAGTTCCAGAATGTTCTCCTTCCCTTGCTCCAGGTTCCGGTCCCTGCCCTGCTTCCTCAGGGAAATCCCATATGCTACAAACTAGAACTGAACTCCTCAGCTTTTTTTGGCTGTAATCTGTTTATAAATAGTTCACTAGACCTTCCTTTCAAGGAGCCACTGGATAGGTTTAACTATCAACCTTAAAGTTAGTGGTCATTCACAACTACTGCTATGACCTGGCTCTATGTATCTGGGTTAACTTCAGTAAAATATGAGAACGGACCACTTCACTGCTTAAAATATCCAAGCTTGGTGGGCACACAGGGTGAGTGGATTGAGAATCTATCAGGAAAAATGGATTTGGGGTGGCAGGGAGGATGCCAGGAGGCAGGAACAGAGAGCAAGTGGGTCTGGAGGAGGGCCTCTGTGGGGGACAGGGGCTGCCTGCTGGGTGTGCCTTATCTTTGTCTGGCTCCTTGAGATAAAGACAGCAGTTTTGTCTTCCTCGCCCTGGCTCACACTGTCCAGCGGCGCAGGCCCACACTTTGGAGCATGTCGGTGCAGGAGAGCTTACCACCACAGCAGTTGTGGTCCTGGATGTCTAAGTCCCAAAGGGACCTGGCAAAGTCCATTCTCATTGGAGCTCCTGGAGGTAAGAGCCGACAACAGAAGCTATCAAGCTGTTGTTATCATCCATTGCCATTGACGTCAGTTTGTGGCAATCGCATGGGTGCAGCATAGAACTGTTATGTGAATACAGAATAAATTATATAGGCTGGGACCATCTTCAGACGCACTTCTGGGTGGGTTCGAACTGACAACCTTTCAGCTAGAAGTAGTAAGTTAAACAGTTTGTGTCACACAGGGATTACAGCCATTGAACAGAGGAGGAATATGAGGTTAGAAAAAGGAGTCAGGGTTAGGGTAAAAATGATGAATGTTTGCTGCTGGCTAAAGGTGGGGGAGGATCCTGTGCTCACCCGAGTCTCCCTGGGTTGAGTTATGGGCCTGGTCCAGGCAGCACAAGGAAAGTATGCGGTGTAGAAGCCATGGGCCCCTCTCGTGGCTCCTGGACTCTGGACGCTGGCATCCACACTCCCAATATCTGGGAGCCACTGGTGACACATTAACCAGACCTCTGCACTGATCACCAGCGCCACCAGGCCTCAGCCCTCTGACAGACCCACAGACTCCAATAGGCCCGTGCAGACATGGAGGGTATGGCTGCAAGTGGAGCTCTGAGCTGGGCTGGGTTGGGGGACACCAGGGTCTCGGGGAGCATGGAAGGGGCTGGAGATATTCCAAGTGGGTAGAAGATACTAATCATCAAAGTTTGGAAGAAAGAAAACAGGGATGTTAGAAAAATAGACTGTGTGATACTGAGCTTGAGAAATGAGCCACTGTGGGCCAGACGCCAAGGTGAACTGAGGCTGAGGCAAGTAACCCACCTGAGGGGCGGATAAAGAGGTCTAGGTAAAGAGGGGTGAGTACAGCTGGCGACCGAGGACCTGAGCCCAGAGTCATCCAGACCTGGATTCAAGTCACAGCCTATTACTTAGAAGGTGTCTAGTTTGGAACAATTAAATATCAGTCAGCCTCTGTGTCCTCATCTGTAAAGTGGGGGTATAATTTTTACAGAACATTCAGTAGTGCCTGCTGCATAGAATGCTTGGGATTAAGCAAGATAATTCATGCATGTTGGTGAGCTGGTAAGAAAAACTGAACAAGTATTATGCATCACTGAAAACTGATCAAGAATTTGTGAGACAATGCCCAGCATGACTGAATCTAGAACAAATTAGACTGAGTGACATAAGTTAGTCACCAGCGGACAGTCAAGGCATAAGGGCACTAATATTAATCTCAGGAAACATTTTCACACAGCTAGAAACAATCTTGTGGTTTAACAGGGGTGAGGAAGGAAGCAGAAGGGACTTAAAATTAATAAATAGGTAAGTTGAATTAAGTAAAAGACAATATAAAATAAAGGACTGATTAGACATTGTAGTGAATTAATGACATTATTCGATTGTAGTTAATGTAATAAAACAAAATATGTTTGCATGATTGAATAAAAAGCCAATATGATTTGTAAACTTTCACTTAAATAAAAAAACAATAATAATAAAAATAAAAGCTCAACATAGATCAGAGAGCTGAGGGGAGACTTGGAGAGTAAGTCAAGATGAACTGGGTGAGGGGAGCAGAGGCAGGTGCCCCTCCAGCCCTGAACCCTTTTCTGTTGCAGGCCCGGCAGGGTACCTGCGGCGGGCCAGCGTGGCCCAATTGACTCAGGAGCTGGGCACCGCCTTCTTCCAGCGGCAGCAGCTACCAGCGGCCATGGCAGACACGTTCCTGGAACACTTATGCCTGCTGGACATCGACTCAGAGCCTGTGGCCGCTCGAAGTACCAGCATTATTGCCACCATCGGTAAGCACCCCCAAGTCTCCCCACCCCACAGCCTCACAGGGCCTCTTGGATGTTTATCAAGTGCTTCCTCATCATTTACCTCCTTTATGCTTTTCCATGTTTGGCAGAGTCATTCATTCACCAACTATTTATTAACCACTTAATAGATAATGTTTTGAATCCTGGGAGAAGAAAAAAGCCAGACAGTTTCCTTGGGGAGATGACAGTCTACTTGTTCTTGTTGTTGTTATGTGCCATCGAGTCGCTTGTGACTCATAGCAACCCTATGTACAAGAGCCCTAAACCCTGCTCTATGCTGTGCCAACCTTGCCATCTCCGACACACTCATTCCCACCACCGCAATCACAGAATGGATCTATCTTACTGAGGGTCTTCCTCTCCTGCACTGTCCCTCCACTCTCCCAAACATGATGTCACTCTCTAAGGACCTGTCCCTCCTTGCAACATGACCAAAGTATGTCAGACGAAGCCTCAGAATCCTTGACTCCAAGGAGCATTCCGGCTTCACCTTCTCCAGGACAAACCTGTTTGTTCTCTTATCAGTCCATGGTATATTCAACACTCTTCTCCAGCACCATAGCTCTAAGTCATCAATTCTCTCTCTATCATCCCTAGTCACTGTCCTACTCTCCGATGCATAGCACATAATTACGAAGACTAGCCTGGATCAGTTGCACCTTAGTCTCCAGCCTGACGTCATTGCTTTTCAGTACTCTTGAAAGGTCTCTCACAGAGTCTACTTGGTTAAGACAAAAAATGAGAAACATAAAAATGATACTAAGTAAATTATAAAGTGTAAGCTAGTGATAAGTACTATGAAAAAGGAATTATCTTGGTTATTGAGTGTTGCTATAAGTGGTATAGCACTGGTCTGTCCATTTGCTGTGAAAAGGTTGTGGTTGCTGTAATGCTAAACACTGCGACCAATGTGTCAAATGTGATAATGGTTACCCATGGTGGACAGTGTTTGGTGGCATCCACTTCTGAAATAGCTTGCCTCCAGAAACTCTATGAACGTGGAGAAACAATGAAAGTTATACCAGCCTTCAGGTCTTTCGTTCATAGGGTCTCTATGAGTCGTCTACGACTAGACAGCACCTAACAACAACATAACAGAAATAATATAAGTGGATGGTTTCCACAGACATTTATTTTCCCACAGTCCAGGAGACTAGTGGTCTGAAATGGGGTGGCAGGTGTAGGGGAAGGCTTTCACATTCTGTCGGCCCTGGCGGGGAAGGCCCTTGTTGGGTCTGGGGGAAAGAACCTTGTCTCTTCTGAGCATCCGCTTCTAGCGATCTTCATGTGTCCTGATAGCTCTCTTCCCTGACTTCTGTGATCTCACCTGTTTGATTACTCTCTACTATTTCAGGACAGATTGACTTAAAACACACTCTATACTTCATTAACGAAGAAAGAACACATTCCCAAATGGAATTATAACCACAGACATAGAGGTTAGGACTCCAGCACAGATTTTTGAGGGGCACACTTCAATCCATTAACATTCCTCCCTTCAGCTCCTAAAAGGCATGTCGTGGCTTTGGCGCATGAACAACACATTCACCCCAGACCTTCGCCCAAAAAGTCCTAAATCAATGCCAAATTTAAAATATCATCTTCCGGAGCACCTAATAAAACATGAGCGAGATTTTAGATTCACTCCATCCTGGGCAGAAAGTCCTCTTCATCTGTCAAAGTGTGAAATCTAGAAGTCAAGTTAACTGTTTCCAAAGAACAATGGCAAAACAGGCCTAAGGTAGATAATTCCATCACCAACAGAGGAAATTGGACAGGAAGAACGTGTAACAGGTACCAGGTAAATCTAAACCCCATGAGAACATTAGCTCTCAGGCATGAAAATCATTCTCTCAGACCATCTGGGCAGTGGCTCTGACCTTTAGACTCTGGGGTTTGGCCACACCCTTTGGATTCTGAATGGAGGACCCTCAATTTTGCCTTCCAGTCCCACTAGAATAAACACCACTGCTTCTTTGGTTTAGGGTTACCCTGTTCTCCTAGTCCATCTGAGGGACAACCCCACACCATCCAACCTATTAGGCCCAATTATTTTGTCCCCTGGTCATGGCCGTCCTGGCCCCTCATCTTTGACCGGTGACCCCTCCCCGACCCCCATTCCCCTGGTACATCTAAAGGGAAGTCCTATGCTCCAGGATCCAGCTGGTAAAGATCGGAAGATAAGAGTCTTTGAAACTCAGTTGGCTGTGACATCCTTTCATATCTCAAAAGATTGACTCAGCCCACATCCTACTGGAATCCTGTCTCATCAATGTAACAAAAATATCCCATAACCAAATGAGACTATAAGCACAAACATAGAGGTTAATTTTTACAATATGTGCACTGCAATCCCAGAGGTGTGCAGTTCAAATCCACCAGATGCTCTGCTGAAGAAGGAGGAACAATCGCCTCCTAGACCATTCAGATCCAATTTGATGGTACACACATAAAAAGAATAAATAAATAAATAAAAAGGAAAAAATTTTTTTACAATATGAATTTTTGGGGGGTACAATTCAATCCATAGCATGACTGCTAATTATTACAAATTATATATGCAAAAGATATTTGTAATGAAACAGGAAATGTTTTATTAAGATATTGTTAACTCAAGCCAGCTATAAACTACTGTATATAAATGTGATCATTTTAACTGTGTATTAAAATAGAAACAAGATTATACATAGAAAAGATTGAATAAAAGAAACCAAAATGTTAAGTAAGGACAGGAAACTGGAGCATGGAAAAAGAGCAGCAGGAGTGTGGGGGCAGAAGGCAAGTTGTAGTCATAAGTGAGGAGACTGCTACATGCTCTTGAGTCAGCTCCAATCCATGACTGTAGGAAACAGAATGAAATGCTGCCGGATGCTGGGCCAGCCTCACAACTCCTGATGTGTCCACTGTTGCAGTAACTGTGTTGATCCAGCTCATTCAAGGTCCTGTTGTTGTTGTTATATGTCGTCGAGTAGCCGACATCGTGGCCCTATGTACAACAGCTCTGAAGTCTGCCCTGTCCTCAGCCAGTCTCACTGATTCCGACACACCTACCCCCATTATCCTAGTCACTGTGTCAATCCATCTCATCTGGGGTCGTCCTCTCCTGCGTTCCAAGCATGGTCCTCCACCCTTCCAAGCATGATGTCTTTCTCCAAGACTTGCCCAAAGTAGGTGAGACAGAGCTTCAAAATCCTTGTCCCCAAGGAGAAACTTGGTTTCACCCTCTCCAAGACAGACCTGCCTCTTGGTGGTCCATGGTGTATGTTCAATAATTTTCTCCAGCACCACAACTTAAAGTCATTGCTTCTTCTATTATTCTTAGTCATTGTCCAGCTCTCTGATGCATAAAAAGTAATTGCGAAGGCCATGGTCTGGATCAGACATACCCTAGTCTCTAGACTGATATTGTTGCTTCTTAGCACCCTGCAGAGGTCCCTGACCTCTTAGGGATAGGCATTATAAAGTAAACGAAATCTGAGCAGAGATTTGAAGGAGATATAAGAATTTACTATGCAGATATCAGGGGGGCGGGGAGAGGGGAGAGTTCTAGGCAGAGAGAACAGCCAATGCAAAGGCCCTAAATCAAGGAGGCCTATATGGTTGGAAATATTCAGGGAGAAAGAGTAGGAATGAAGAAACTGTGGGTCCCTGACACCATTGTTAGAATCTGAGCAGATTTCCTTTGAGTGAAAAAGAAAACCACTTCAGGACTTTGAGCAGTGGGTTACATTAATTTACTCACATTTTAACAGAACCACTCAGGCTGCAGCATTGAAAATAGACCCAGGGTAGAGTAGGAAAAGCGCAGGAGTTGCTACTACAGTATTCCTAGGAGAGATGATAACAGCCCAGCTGAGCAGGTGGCGGAGGTGTGAAAAGTGGGCAGCTTCTGCATGACAGCTGAAGGTGGAGTCAACAGGCCTTTCTTGATGGATTGGATGGGACACAGAAGTTGACCCCCTGGCAAGTTTTCAGAGGCAGTTAATCACACAGGAGGAGACTGTCCATACTTCTCCCATGGAGCAGCTGGTTGATTCGAACCACGTGTGTTCAGGATTGCAGCACAGTGTCTCTCCACTAGGCCACCAGAGCTCCAGGGCACAGGAGTTGAGAAAGAAAAGAGTCAAAGATTATGCCCAGGCTTTGGGCCTGTGGAACTGGAAGGGTGGCATCCTCACCTGAGCAGGAAAGAGTGTGGTGGAACAGGTTTGGAGGTAAGAGATGAGGATTTCCGTTTAGGACATGCTGAGTTTGAGGTTTGATGAGAGGGAGGGCTTAACTAGAAATCGAAGTTTTGGAGTTGTGGGCATAGAGATAGTATATAAAGCCATGAAACTAGTAGAGGTCATCCAGGGAGAGAGAATAAACTGACAGAAAAGGATTGCAGGTTAAGAGAAAGAACCAACCAAAGAAGACAGAGAAAGAGCAACCAGTGAGGTATGAGGAAAACCAAGAGACATGGTAGTGTCCTGTAGACCAAGTGTAAGAAGATGATGCGCGAGGGGAGCTCTGGTGGCCTAGTGGCAAGAAGCTGCACTGCAATCCCAGAGGAACACGGTTCGAATCCACCAGATGCTCTGCCGGAGAAGGAGGTGCAATATCCTCCTGTACCAGTCAGATTTGATTTGACGGTACACGCACACAAAATTAAAAAAAAAAAAGATGATGATGCGCATGAACTCTGCTGCTGGGGCAAAAGGAAGACGGAGAACTGACCGTTCGCTTCAACAACAACACAAAGTTTTTGGGTCTTCTGAGAGACAAGGCCAGAACTTGACTGGAAAATCGAGGAGGAGGACTAGAGACAGCAAATACAGAGAGTCCTTCAGTGATTTGGCAAAGAGGAGCTAGAGGAGGAATTAGGGGAGCCCTGATGGCTTAGTCTGCAGTGAGGTGCTCTGCTGACCCAAAGGTGTGCCTCTCTGGAGTTTCATATCCATCAGTGGCTCCACAGGAGGAAGTTGGGCAATCGCCTCCCACAAAGAGCCTCCAAAGCCCTGTGGGAAGGTCAGTTAGGAGTCAGTGCGAGCTTGATGGCAATGAGTTTAAGCTTTGAATTTTTTTTTAAGGAGGACCTAAGATTGAGGGAAAAAAATAACAAATGAAATAACAACAGGGTTTTATTATACCTAATGGTTGCTAATGGTTTCTAGGAAAGGCTAGTCCTTGTAAAGGGACATGCTTAGCAAGGTGGAGGGTCAGGAAAGAGAGAAAGACACTCAAGGAGAGATATCAACACAGTGACTGCAGCACTGGTCTCTCGTGTGTCAGAGGCTGTGGGGATGGCACAGGACAGGAGAGGTCCAGATCTGTTGTTCACAAGGTAACAGAGTTGTACTTGACTTGATGGCATCTAACAACAACAAGGCCACTATGAGTTGCAGTCAACTAGATGGCACCTAATAATAACAACATTTTTTTTCATATCAACATATATTTTTATTTCAAAATTGAATAAATGAAGTTTTGCTTCCCTCTCCCTATGAGTCACAGTTGACTCAATGTCACCTAAGAATAACTCCCTCCCTTTCTAGCACTAATAACAACAGAATTCACTTGGAATTTCTGAAGTTGAAAGAAATTGAAATAAAATTCAAGTCTAGAATTACAATACTGAGAGAAGTTATGGGCAAAATCTTGAATGATGCAGGAAGCATCAAAAGAAGTGGGAAGAACTTTTCTATGAAGATTGCACCGAAAGTGAAGAAGGAAGCCCCTGCACCTCTCAAAACTGAAGCCAAAGAAAGGCGTTAAAGGCCAAGAAGGCAGCTTGGTGGTCAAGCTTGTTTCTCCTGGGGGCACTGTCCTCCTCAGGGTATTTGGTTTGCCTCCGGAGTCTCAGTGTCTTAGGCTGAAGGTGGGTGATGTGTGTGGATCTTCTTTTTTTGTGGCTGTGGATGCCCTTCAGGACTGCCTTGTTGGCATCAGGATCAGACTTTTCTCCAACACCAGGATCAGAAGACTCATCAACAACCTTATATGCGGATGATACAACCTTGCTGAAAGTGAAAAGGACTTGAAATGCTTGCTGCAGAAGACCAAAGATTACAGCCTTCAATATAGATTACATCTCAACATTAAGAAAACAAAGGGAGGGGAGAGGAAAATGTGCAATAATGAATAAATGGAAATCTAAGTTCTCTACAAACCTTCATTAAAATCCCAATTAAAGAAAAAAAGGGGGAGGAAGAACAAAAAAACCCAGCAACAAAGGTCCTTACCATGAGCAAAGATAACGATAGATGGAAAAAAGATTGAAATTGTCAATGATTTCATCTTACCTGGATACACAATCAACACCCTTGTATGAAGAGTCAGGAGATCAGGAGATTGGGGAAGTCTGCTGTCAAGGACCTTTCCAAATTACTGAGGAGCAATGGTATCTGTTTAAAGACTAAGGTGCACCTGAATAAGGCCATGGTATTTTCCATTATTTGTTGGACATCTGAGAGCTGGACAATGCCGAATAAGGATGACAGAAGAAGAATTGACAATTTTGAGCTGTATTATTGGAAAAGAGAAGAGTAATGAATATCCCATGGACTGCCAAAAGAATTAACAGATATATCTTGGAGAAAGTGAGCCAGAGTGCTCCTTGGAGGCAAAAATGACAAAGCCTTGTCTCATATACTTTAGACATGTTACTAGGAGAGGCTATTCCTTGAAGAGACACATCTTGCTAGGAAAGGTGTAGGGTCAGTGAAATAGAGGAAGACCTTCAACAAGATGGACTGATACAGTGATTGCAGAAATAGGCTCAAGTGTGTCAGAGATGATGAGGATGGCACAAGATAGGACTAGGTCAGGATTCAGATCTGTTGTTCAGAGGGTTGCTATGAGTTATCCTCGACTCAGTGACACCTATTAACAACAACATATGTTGATAACAATGATCCAGGAAAAAGGAAAATTCTGATGACGTTGAGGTGTAAGGGAAGATGCTGTATGCACAGGTGGCTAACTTTAGATGGGGCCTGGACCCTGAAATGTTATATGGACAGGCCCACACACAGTGCTGCCCCCTCAGCAGAGCTGACTGAACACAGCACTATGGTAGGAAGCATCTCAGCTCTAAAGCCCCTTCCAGCAAATGCCTCCACTTGGCACCCACCTTCCCATACTGTCATCCTGGGGTTACTTCCGTCTTACAGCACTTACATCACTGCTAACACCTGTTCCCTCAGGCCTGGCTTAGGACCACATCAACACTAAGAAAACATCAAGGTCTGCTGCCTACCAGGGACTCAGTGATGTCTGGACAGGGAAGCGGGGTGTCTGGCTTGTGGTCAGGAATGGTTTAGGGAATAAAGATCTGGTAGCAGGAACTCTGAGTCCTGGAAAAGGCTCTGCTGGTGAGGATGGGGTTTTGCATCTCTCAGGTTTGGGGTAAAGGGTGTTTAAGCGAGATCTGTGGTTCCAGGGCCCGCCTCTCGCTCGGTCGAGCGCCTCAAGGAAATGATCAAGGCAGGCATGAACATAGCGCGCCTCAACTTCTCCCACGGCTCCCACGAGGTGAGGGGGTGCTGCGGGAGGCGGGGGGGCCGCAGGACGCAAGGGTCCAAGAAACCCCTCTGAGATGCCGGCTCCTTTCCCCATAGTATCACGCTGAGTCCATCGCCAACGTCCGGGAGGCGGTGGAGAGCTTTGCAACCTCCTCGCTCAGTTACCGGCCGGTGGCCATCGCTCTGGACACCAAGGGACCGGAGATTCGCACCGGGACCCTCCGGGGGGTGAGAGGCTGTGCCCAGGGCCTAGGTGGGGCTGGGGAGGGGGCGAGGCCCAAGCAGGGGGCTGGGCTGCGGGCAGGGCCCAGAGGAGGGAGAGAGGACGGGTCAGCCGGGGAAGGGCCTCCGCTGCGGTTAGGGTCCCAGGAAGCTACGCCTAAACCAACCAGAGGCTAGCAAGCCGGGTGCAGGGCCGAAAGGGCGGGATCTGCAGGGACAGAAGGCTGGGAGGGAGGGGCGGAC